TTGATGAGGATAGCAATTTTGATGAGACCAGTCAGTTCAGTTATGGCTCATTTGATGCTTCCATCAACGTCATTGCACGGGTCCTTTTTGTCCTTCTCCACAGCATCAACTTTTTCAATAGCAACTATCTCATTCTGATCACCTGGACAACTAATATTATCCAAGTTTTTTTCACAAAGCGAGCTTTTAGGAATATTACTGAAAATAATTGGAGCCACAGAACCTATTTTACTGAATGTCACTTCATTATCACTTTCAGTAAATACTTTTACGTTATCTCTTGATAAACTCCCATCAGCAGAATCAACACTGGTCACTTTATCTTGCACATTATTGCCACTCTCATTGACATTTGGTACAGCTTGAGTGACTTTTTCTTTTGCCTGGACTGTATTGGCATTTTTGTTTTTAAAACCAGTATCAATTTTTTTTTCAGAAGCATTTACTTGACTGCTTGAATGAAGAATCTTTGAAATATTGTTAGCTGTACTAGTAAAAGCTGTAGCAGTACTTTGGAACCTTGGAACATAATGCCCAAGAAGACCAGGATTGTTGCTTCTCATATTTAAATTGTTATTAAAAATTTGCTTCCTAACGCCCATGAAATCAATAGCAGGCTGGTTATTTACTGGCAGAGGAAATCTCATCAAAGGTGATTGAGTCAAGGTCTTCAGAGCTTCTGTCAGCAAAATGTGAGCAGAACTATTTAAAATATTGTTGGTCTGAGTGTGCAGTAGATGTGGTTGCTGCTGCTGCTGTTGTTGATGTAAAATTTGTTGTTGTTGACTAATAAGCTGTTGTTGTTGATGTTGATTCGGGAAAAGTTGATTGTTTGTAAAGTTTAACACAGCAGTAGTAAGAGGATTGTGACTTGGAGCTTGATTGTTTGTTGCTTTTGACTGTTGTTTGGTTTGATGATGTTGAATACTTAATTGGGATGAAGATGTCACATTGTTAGAACTAAAGTAGGTATTGAATTTATCAATATTATCACGATTGTCCCGTGAGAATTCATTGTTAACTTGTGCATTCGATGATGTTGTTGATGACAAAGAGGGTGATGATAATAAAGTTTTGGACGACAATGATGATGAGGAGGAAACTGTTGAAAGAGGAGGAGCATCTAGTAATGGTCTCAATGCTCTGCTGAAAGATCTCTCTTCCAACTTTTCAGCATTTGATCTGGCATATGTTTCTTGATTGCCAGGCAGCTCCTTTGACATTCTCTTGCTGAGATTTTGACTAGGTTGGGGAAATTTTGTCAAAATTGGTCGATCACCTGGTAAGATGGGAGTTTCTAACAAGGGCTTCTTCTTCATCCTATTGGTATCCAGGGTATCTTTGTGATGCAAAGAATTTTCATCCAATGTACTGCTGTAGTTTTGAAGTTTGTTTGTCGGGCAATATTTAGAGGCGAAGTAATCAACTGAGGGACTGCTGTGGTGATCTGGTTGGTTGCAGTATTTGTATATTGAATTTCATGTTGAGCTAATAATTTAAACTTGAAATATTTTAAAAATTCAATTTAGGTAAACATTCAAAAACTACTAATGAATAAATGAAAATAAAGAAAATGAATGAGTGAACAAAATTGATAAAAAACAAATGAGTTTCTTACTTTAAACATTTAAGCCTACTCAATGGAGATATAGTTAAGTTGTTAAAATTAAGGAAAATAACTTTAACACATCTGTTTCTTAATACCAATGGATCAGCATTTTATTTTATGCTCTTAGATATTCAAACTGAAGAGACATTGACAAAACTTGCAAGTATTAGAATAAGTTAATAGAACTGATAATAACAAAGAACTGATAATAACAAAGGCATAAAAAAAGCTCTATACAATGTGCACCAGCAGATGTGCTGTTTAGAAAAGTGTCTTAGCTATACAGGAGTCTGTATAATATTTTTTACTCCAAGCTCTCTGTTGAACTGGGAACCCGTACAATCTAAACTGATGTCACCAAGTCTTAAAACGTTTTAAAAATAATGACAAATTTCAAATTTAAAAAGGACGTATTTCTAATTATTTCTAATTAGAATGAAAATGAAACCGAACTTTTGAGTTACATTACTAACTTTTGATTTGTTGGAATGTCGTCTTTAAATTAAATTTTTTTGGTTGAATATGAAATCTAAGTTTTTAATTTATCTAATTTTTTTTAAATGGTATAGTCAGTTACAAATCTCATTAAACTTTAACAACAATTTTTAGAGATGACAAAAAATTTCATGTGGAAGATATTGGAAAACTAAAAATTGGAAAAACTAAAAATACATTAAAATTGTAAAAAATTTATTCACATAATATACACACATTATCCAAAAAGACAAAGACAAAACAGAGAGGGTTTAAAAATGTGATGACTCCACTAGAGAGCACACAGGCTTCCCATCAAATAGAAGCTTGGCTTGGTAAACATTAAAAACTTTTAATAATAGGTATATAAACAGACTGCCCTACAATATCGGACTTTTTCTGAACCACAGACATAGACAAGGCCATGCAGGTACATCAGGATCACATGAATATTTGAATATTTATATAGAACCTTCTATACGATTTGTGACATTCTCAGAGGTCAGATATGTACCTTCATAGCAACATAATTGCATGAAACATATATAAATAACATCACTGAGGCTGAGTGCCATTATCAACAATGTAACGTACATAGTCACATATAGAGGAGCGAAATTAAATAAATCTGACCATTATCACAGTCCATCTTTCTCCTTGCCTCAACATCCTCATAAGCTGAAGGGGTCCTAACATTTGGAGTGGCCAGCAATGATGGAGGTGGCATATTTACCGGTGGTAGATGTGGTAGTGAGATGTCATGAGGATGTCTGCCACCGGTGCTACCACTTTGAAAAGAATCATTCAACCGCTGCCTGTTATCTACTTGTAGAGGGAAAATTGATGAAGCTGATGATAGTGGCGGTGCTTGTGCCTGTTGAACATTCAACATGCTGTCAGGTAATGACTTGCCATCATCTATTTGCTGAATGAGTACTGGATGATGCAATGGCAAAAGATGTTGAGTCTGAAGTTGCTGCTGCTGCTGTTGTTGTGGCTGTTGAAGTAAGTGTTGTTGCTGAAGAACGTTGAATGGAGCCGACTGTTGCAAGACAACATTTCCTGGAAAAATACTAAGGAGACGAGTGTCTGGTGCAGTAACACTTTGAAATGAGGGAGCATCTGGTCTCAAAATGTTTTGTGGAGGGTGCTGCAAGGCTGCATGTGCATGCTGCTGTGGTAACAAAGAACTTTCAACAGCAACTGCAGTTGACGTTGGCAATAACTGTCGCAACACATCAGCATTATCAACAATTGGAGTCCTGATGAAAAATGTGCTAGGCTGCACCTGCTGGTTAGCAGGGTGGATGACGTTCAGGGGTGTGCCTCCACGAACTTCAATCAAATGCTGCGTTTGTTGGGGTTGTAAATGTTGTTGTTGTAAGTGCTGTGGATGTTGCTGCTGTAAGTGCAAATGTTGGACCTGTTGCAACTGATGTTGTTGCAATGAATGTTGTTGAATATTTTGAGTGAACAGTGGCGGAGGGGCACTGAACAAAACATTAGATTGTAGCGTTGTTGTTGCTGATGATGTAAACATATGATTACTTCCAACGACGACGTTAATATGTTTGGGAATCTCAAGAGGAGGTGCTTGATTGATGTGCAAACTCTCTGACTGATTGAAGTTTGGTACATTCTGGTTGAGTTGTGTAAGAGTTGGTGCACTGGGCAATGTAGACTGACTAACTGGTAAGTTTTGCAGGAGTGGTGGCGGAACACTAGGATTGAACTGCGTGTGTACTAAAGGTTGTGTCATTTGTTGAGTTGGTTGTTGCTGATGTTGCAGTTGCAGCAGTTGTGTTTTTTGATTGACATCATGGCCCATTGAGATGCTGTTTTGCTGGAGCTGCATATTTCATTTAATTGTTAACTAGCATTTGCAAAATTAAAAAAAAGATAAACCAACATACGACGACAACAACATAATGCAACAACAATATGAAAAAACAACAACATACAGGAGTGGTAGTGTCAGTTTCATTGTTGATGGGTGGCAGTGGAGGTGGAGGGATGGAGGGTAGTGGAGGCATGGACTGTGGGAGAGGTATCATTTGAAGGGCATCTACTATTGATGAGTTTTTTAAAAGGATTATTTATAAATTTTTTATAATGAAGGGACAACGAAATTGCATGCTCACAAGATATATTGAAATTTGAATGTCAAATAAATCTATTGAAGACATTAATAAAAATGCTCATCCACAATAAGAACACAACTCAGAATTTTCATTAACAAACACAGCAGCTAACTATTATACACTACAAAATTCAACAATTCAGATTGTGAGGATGCCTCATGGAAGCATCAGGTGCTAGATGCATCAATTCATATCACTTAAATACGAGCAAATCTACAGTAATGAAAGAAAATGGCAAAAGTACCAAACCTACCTGCATTCAAAGTTTCAGACTTGCTTTCTACCTTCGATGAAACTTTCTTACGGTCTTTCTTTTTTAATAAACGACTGCCTGGAAACAAACAAGACAGGTTGTGTGTATGCAAATTGTAAACCAATTATAAATTTATTTAAAAACATATTTATGTGCACTAATTATAACAAAGTAATAAAAAATATATTTTTATTAACTATACTGTTTAGATATATACTCTTAACAATATCCGAATGTCAATGAAATAAGGTGACAATCCGACCGAGCATTGTTCACTATACAATGGTTTGGACAGTGACTGGCGAGAGTTGCACAGTCACTGTAGCATGAAAGTTAAACTATAAATGTAGAATGTGTATGCAGTTTTTCACATATAGAGCTGCATAACAAAAAATTAAATGCTGCAGAGGAGAATTCATTGAGATGAGACGACTGTGGACCAATGCCCCAGAACACACGAACAACAAACATAATAAAACCAGCATAAATAAACTAGAGCCAAGATGAAAAATAAAGCACTGAACTAACGATCAAAATTAAGGGGAAGACTATCATCATCAAGAACACTCCCCTCTAATAATGAAACAAAGTTCAATGAAGGTATCTTGGACCAGGCAATGTAGTTGACACCCTTCTCCACGTTGAACTCTACAGCAAATTCCGAGTTTCTTATTCCAATACCATATGACCAGGCCACCTGGTGAATAAAGTGAACAAACTGTTTGCGCTTACAACAATTAGGTAAAAAAACAGACAAACAACAATGAACAGATCGTTTAAAATAAAAAAAAAATAATTAAATAAATGAGCAGCATGCCTTAACAAGATTCCCCTGTATGTGCACTGTTTTCAGCCTTTCAAGAGCATCGTGTGCATGCTTGCGCGTTGTGAAGGCAACAAATGCACAACCTCTGGGTGGCACCAGCTGCAAAAGTATTTACAGAACCGACATAATAAGTGTTCAAGTGCAACATTTGATTTTTTTAATTTATAAATTAATAATAAAACAACATAGAAAATGAATAAGGTGATAATGAAGGAAAGAGTAGTAATAAAAATGTTTCATTTAGGTAACGTTTCAGCTAACATTAATGGTGACGTCTCCAAATGCATCTAGAACATTCCTTATTTCTTCATCACCTGTCAGTTTGTTTAGCCTTCCTACCCACAAAGTCATACTGCATACTTGAATAAGATTGAAATAAAAAAATGCAATAAAAATGAAGATAAACAGACATTACACATATATATATATATATATATATCAATCTTTATCAAAATTTTTTACATGCAATATAAAATTTACACAAAATACATTCCATGCACTAATTGGATCCAAGTAACCAATACCTCACCAATTGCCTAACTATTCCCATTCCATCAAACTGATTTTATTAAAAGTTTCAATTTCCTCTCCAACCACCAGCAAGGATAATTTAATGAGAGTTCATTAAGTACATAAAAATAAATTCAAAATCAAGAATGTTAGTAACGAACCACTAATCATCTCATTGAGAACTGGAGGCATGCATGATCTGTCAATTTTAAATCTAGAATCTCGTCCCATGAACTCAACTGATGAACTTCTAGATCTTGATCTGATTGACAAACAAACAAACATTTAATTAATTAATCATTTAATTAATAAATTAATCAATTTATTAATAAATTAATTAATTAACAAAACTGTATTAGATTATTGGTTAATCTAAACGTTTTAAATAAACTGGCGAAACCAATCAAAAATAAACTGGCGATAAATGATTCAAGTCCTCAAAAAACAAACTAACTAACCTGCTTCTTCTCGCTTGCTTTCTCATAGGTGATGGTAATTTTTTCTCCAAGAACCTTCATATTCAATGAAAATAATTAAACCATTCAGTGGAACACTGTAGCCATCTAAAAAGTACACTTTTTTCACATAAAAAATACAAAACAACATACCTGGATACATCCACATGCTTCTTCTGCATGTCTACAAATATAACATCATCGTCGTCGTCATCATCAGTTTCATTTGTACCATACTCCACCTGAGTTCAATGAGAGTAAATATTTTTTCTATGTGCATCAAGTGCATCAAATAATAAGAAAATGTTTTGAGGTCAAATTAAAATAATTGCATCAAACAACTTATAAATTGTAAAGATAAGTGAATGATAGTAAAGTAGCAAGGAGTTTTAAGAAGTAACAATAAAATGTGTTCAATGTGTAAAAGTTTAATATAAAAACCGATAGAAAAACAGAAAAAAATAGTGCAAAAACTAGAAAGCAAAACTGCACATACTCAACAACCCTAAAACAAGACATTGACTGATACAAAGCTGATGCAAAAACAACAATCATTAAACTGATTGATAAATAAAGTAACTAACAGTAAAACCAGCTTTTGGCTTCTCAGCTTGTCGCGGTGAGGGGGAGCGATTTTTACTTTTTTTACTTTTACTTTTCTTCCTTCTATCACTTTCCCTGCTATTTTCATTATCATCATCATCATCATTGTGGGAACTATACTTTTTCGATGGTTTTCTATCGTCTTCATAATTGTTAGAATGTTTTTTCCTCCGCTTGGATTTCTTAGAAACCTGTTCATCGTCATCATCATCATCTTCTTTTGCACGTTTATTCAATTTTTTCTTCTCATATGATCTGGAGGCTCGTTTCTTTTCGTCCCTATCATTTTTGTCACATTCGTCTTCATTGCTGACACTATCTTTATATTTTTTGTGTTTTTTGCGTCGCTTGTTAACACGATCGTCCTCATCATCATCCTCATCAACATCGTTTTCAGCCTTCTTTGCGTTTTTTGCCTCAGAAATATGATTCTCCTTCAACATTTTATCATTGTGACGACTGAAATTTCTTACAATATCATTATCAAAACTGCAGTTCATATTGTCATCATCATCATCACCACCATCATCCTCGTTAGATTCACTCATCGGCGATGACCTCTTGGACGTTGGGGCTGAGACCTGCTCAGTTGCACTACCATAACCACCAGCAGCACCACCAGCAGCATCATTAGCGAGGCAGTACCTGCAGCAACACAAAATTTACGTCAGCTACGTGGCTGTTAAAATTATTACTGAAATCAAATGAAATTACAAGCAGGAATATTTAGCAGATTGTATGAGAAACCATATCCATTACTCCAATAAGTGAGCAAAAATGTGTTATCCGCTCCAAAGATTGACTATTTGCCAGTTCTTAATGCAGCAAATAAAGACTAAATTTTAGTCACTAAAATAATTATTTTCGCAAAAGAACCATTTTCAGTAATAGAGAGGAAGCATAATTACATAAGTGGCAAGAAACTCAAGAATTAAAGAAAAAGTAAAAGTTATCCAAAATACTGAAAAAATGTGCAACAATTTAATTTTTGCAAAAATTAAATCTAATTTCATTTTTAAAAGATGGAGCAGCAAAAACAGCAAATTTAGAAATAATAATGAACGTTCTAGTGCTCCTATATCGTGTTCATATATGCAAATCATAACTGAACCGTACTTTTCGTCATCGTCTCTGATGTCTTGCTGGCGATCACCATCCTTATTGTACCCCTCCTCCTCCTCCTCCTCCCCATACTGTCGTCCTTCTTCAGGTGCGTCGTCTTCATCATAATAGTCGTCCTCTCCTTCCTGACACATTGACAATATCCTCTGTTCCAAACAAATAAAAAACATTTCCCCAAATGTTAATCACGCTTCTCTATTTACACGACTTTATAAACCGCAAAAAAATTTTGTTATTTTTAGTATAAATAACTTGAACATTGTTTAACAATTAAAATTTGTTCAAGAACTCAAATTTTCGAGAATGATACCTTATCTAAAGAAGTAAGTCTTTTTGGTTCCTCGGTAAAGTTGTTCTCTGCATTATCATCAGATTGATTATTGTTATTATAAGACTCATCATTGTCCTCATTATGACTGGCATAATCATTAAAATTTTTGTCAACGCCTTCACGAGCAACGTTGTCAGAAGTTCGTGTCTTCCCATCATTCAATTTAAATTGTGTCTGATGATCAAACTGCTTCGAATGTAACTGCTGATGTTGTTGTTGCTGCTGCTGCTGAGGAGTGGTGGTCATTGTTGGTGCAGGCAGTGTGGTGGCGGTAGTAGAGGTCAATGCAGTAGGAGCCATTGGAACATTGCCTAGCAGCTGCTGTGTCAACATGTGTATCTGACTTGCCAGATTTGCATCATTTATTGCAGATGCCATCTTCAACGGTTCAGTAGTCAGTGTGTTAAACTTGTTATAGTTAGTGGTTGCAGGTGGTATCATAGCCATGGGTAGTTGCTGCAGAAGTAATTGTTGCAAAAGCTGAGTTTGCAATTGTTGTGGAGGCATTGCAATTTGAGACATTGTTGAAGGATTCATCTGGAATGCAATTAGTTAGATAAAACAAAAATTTAAGTATAATAAAGACATTTGAGTGAAATTATAAATTGATGGTCCAACTAACTGTTTGCAAAAGTTGGTTGAGTACTTTGGACAGATCGTTAGGCAGGTCACTACTAGATGAAGTTGATCTCAAATCAATACCAGCTCCTAACTGCAATGCATCAGCAGTCAGTGCAGGAGGCTTCTGATCACATTTCAATGGCATCGATGGCGTCAAGCCTGTCACCTCTTCAACTTGCTTCTGAACTGAGTTGGGATAGTTGAATGTGTTTATTATTAAGTTACACCATCTTTAACATATAATGTGAACATGAAAACGACAGACAGTTCAAGGAATTTTTAGACAAGCTAACAGTTTTGAGCCATAGTTCAACAAGTATGAACATTGATAGCATAATGTAATGTGCACGAAAATGTTACAAAACAAAGTAGAAGCAAACCAAATCAGCGATTCAAAAAATAAAATATTAATAAAAACATGAGATAACGTGCTTATAAGCAAATCAATCAATCCTCGTTTATAGTCTCCATCCGTTATGGGTCGGACTTATAAGCAAATGAAAAACAAATCTGAATAGGTAAAGCAAAAAGGAAGGAGTGTAAGGAAGGCAGAACAGCTGAGACCAGTCATGAGCAAAGCATGGGAGGAAGAAAGACTACCACATATTACGTAGTTGGGGTAGGATGAAAGAGAGAAAAGGTTTAAATACAGTGTTGCACGTTTTACGTGTAAGAAAACAAGCAGAAAAATTAGATGTGCGTACCAATAATAAACATAGATGCAAGAAAAATTTGCAAAACCGACATGAAAACTAAGCAGCGCGATCGACTAACTGGACAGTAGTGCTACTAACTGGACAGTAGTGCTGCGAGTAAACATGCCAATTATGATAAAAGAATAAACATCGACCGCAATGATAAGCAAGCAGTTTGACAACATGCTGACAAAAATTTTTCATGAATGCTACTGCAGACTGGATAGACAAATGATAGAAATATATTTAGTAGCGTGGAGTCACAATAAATTGTCTCCACTTATCCCATCTACCTGCAGGTTGGTTAAAGTATCAAAAATCTATCTACTGTTTTAAAAAAATAAATAAATAGACTTATCTAAAAAACATTACTTAACAAACAAGTAAACAAACAAACAAGCAAACAAACAAGCAAACAAACAAACAAACATACAAACAAACAAATAAACAAACAAACAATATATATTACATACTATATATACATATATACTACTAGAAGCAATAATTTTGAGATGGGATGAATTGATACAATTACAAAACAAAAAATATTAAAACCATCATCAATTTAGTACATGAACAGATTAAAACAACGTGTCGATGATGAGCATGAAAAGCTTAATACTTAATAAGTAACAGAAAATCATTATATAAAAACTTTTAAATAAATATTTTTATAGCAACAAAAAAATTTAAAAGAACTTGAAAATTTTGTCATGCTTATCTAGTTTATTTCAAATGTCTCCCAGAGCAAATTATCGTAACTGTCATCTTTGTAATAAAAAGTTTAAAATAGTATAAAATAATTCTTTCCATTGCTAAGTAAGGAATACACTGTTAAAACTGAGAAATCAAAAGCACTAAAACAAACTGAAATGGATAAGTCCATCACAAAATAATTATTCGGCCATATGCTTAAGCTATGTCAAACATTTTTTCTATTTCTCAGCTTGATGTTTTATTTGTGAAGCATGAGCATGACATATTCATTTCTCTAATACTTTGCTTGTGATTTAATTGCTCAAATCTAAAAGATTGTCAACTCTTGAAATAGAATACAGGCAATGGATAAATAAATAAATATATATATATATTTATGTGTGTGTGTGTGTGTGTGTGGTGTGTGTGTGTGTAAAACACGTGCACTATTAAACATCGTCTAAACATCTATGACTTGTACAAATAAATAAATAAATATAACATGAAAGAAAACAGTGAGAACAAACAATACATTGAAAAAAATAAGTACATAAGATGTTCTGTGAAAACTAGGATTGATATAATTATTTATCATGTAAATGTGGGTGTAATATGTAAAAAGGCAGCTCCCAAATGTAATAAAAATAAATGTAATTGTTTAAATGAATAAATTTTACCCTTTTTCACACCCAATTAGCTTCAAATAAATAAACTACTGGAGTTTTATGATAACATCAATAACAATAATAAAAATAATGTTAATGACACAATAAACAAACACTATAATGAATAATTCAAGATTGATTCCAACTGAATCTAGAGAAGCACCAAATATCCTTCCAAAATTTGACTTTCTACCTTGGCCATTTTTAGACCAAATAGCCAAAAATCACCACTTTTTGGGTTCAAGAACAATAATCGTTGAATATTATTAGCAGAAAAATTATTTTGAACATCATGGATGTAGAGGCATCTGAATTTGAACTAGAGATTGAACATTATATTGGTTAAGAATTGTTTTTTCAATAACTTGTTTTTCATTAACTAATATTTTCCAATTTCCAGGTTTTTTGTATTTGGCTGAGTACTGAATAGTAGATAGACTATTAAGTCATTCAGCCTTTAGTCAAACTCACTATTCGGTGCCTCTCTTGACTAACAGGCTGCAGTTTAGATACAGCAGTGCTGACAAAAGATTGCACAACATTCAAACTAATTGAATGATGCAACGATTGTTTGATGTGAACAGAACAATTACTTTTGAAGATGATTGATAGCAAAGACTGAACTGAACTAAAAAAGTGAGATGAAAAACAGTTGCTAGGATGGTCACCAGTCCAGAAAGTTGTCAGAGATGGTTAAATAAAAATAACTGACTCGTGATGGTCAGCAATGCAGAGTTGAGAGAGTATAACAAATGAATAATGGTTTATTTCAAAATTCTATTCAGCCGATTGATAGAGAATGTTGTACTGCTTTAGTTATGACTGTAAGGTTACAAAGATTGAATCTGAATAGTTTTTAGTACAACAGCACATTTTAATTATGAAAAAACAGAAGACACACCGAAGATTATAGGTACACAAAAAGATTTTGTAAATGAAAGCTGTAAATTATTAAGCTTAATGAAATATAATTAATGGATTAATAAAACATAAAAACAATATGCAAAATATGCACAGTCATTAACGCTGACTACTTTACCAGTTTCAAAAACAGAAGTGTTATGTGGATCAGAAGCCAAATCGAGCAGTGGTTGTATAATGCCCGGGTGATACACACCATTCTTCTGCCACAAATTCAACACTCTTATCATTTTGGACTGTAAAATAAATAAATGTTATTCTACTTTTAATTGAATATTTATCAAGTTACATGGAAAAATTATTCATTGAAATTGTAACATAAAATATAACAAAGAAATGAAAGTAGCTAACAATATCTTCAGATGGACAATCAAACAAATTATGAAAAGTGATAACAATGTTCTTTGAAAATCTTGGCGCAAACATGTCCTTATCAGCTCCGAATTGTTTTCTAGACTGGCGTATGATTGAGTCAATTATGTATAAGCCTGGCACCTTATATTCCTGTCTGCACTGTTAAAAGGAATGATTATCATGAAAAATGATGATAGTGAAAACGATATTTTTGAATCAACATAGAAACTGGGGAAATGGTTATAAAATATCAAATGACTAAAATCTTTCATTTCAACATATCCCAATTAATTTTTTGGAGCTGCCTTTTAATATATAAATCAACATGCATGAGATAATAAAAAAAAATGAATATAGACTTAATGGCATGATTTGTTGAAATAAATAAATATTGAATAAATAAAATAAACAAACAAATAAATAAACAAATAAATAAACAAACGAATAAATAAATAATATAAATATTAGTCGAAATATGATAGGTCGACACCTCACAAAATAAATAAAAAAGGAAAAACCAAATACTAATATAAACAAGTTGAAAGAAAGGAAGCTTAATTAGCACAACCAATTCACTAACCTTTTGGATGAACTTTTCAACACTCTGAACAACATGCTTGTACAACTTGATGGCCTTTATAGCTGCCTTCGTTATTTGGGTCATTTTTGCTTTTGATATTGGAGGTTGTAGCTCGTACAAAGAGCATAGCTATAGGATAAAAAAAATATTACTAATATTTAGTTTAATGGACGCATTAAAAAAATTGAAATTTCATTTAAAAAATGGACACACACAAACACACAATCCAAAATAATAAGAAAATTTAAGAATTTATTAAAAAAATGCTTCTCAACAAACAACAAAAAGACATCAACATGAGTGTCTGCATTCTGAAGGTAGTAAGAGAAGGAATCTTATACTTATGGCTAAATTACTTCTACACAAAAAGCCCTGAAAATTGAGGTAAAAAAACTCAAATATGATCTTATTGACCTAAAAAGCAAGAAAAGAATCCCCATTAACAACAGTATAGCTACAAAATTTCAAACAAAAGACCAGAAACAATGTTGATCTTTCAACAGCAAAATTTTAACAAGTTAAATCCTCTGCAACAAATTTAAAAAACAATGACAAAATTATTAGAGGTAAAGCTAACAACACATCTATGTACACTATCCTCAATAAAATAAACATCTCATATGACAAAAATAGTTTCAGGAAAACAAAAGCAAACTCATTGCCTAAAATCTAAAAAACACAATCAGTAACATCAATTGGAAAATCAAACAACCTATAACTAACGAATAAATACCACTACTTAGAGACGAGTTCCAAAACAGGATCCTCTAAGGAAACGTCAAAACCTCATCAAATAATAACTTGCTTCATCCCATCATCAGCCCAAACAACAAATGTCAGCTATTAACAAGCAATAAAACAAAAAAAAATTTTACTTCAAACCACTACTAATTAAATATCTAGTTATACTTGTCTCAAAGACATAAGCGATGGTGCCTCAGCATATGAAACAGCACCAATACAAGCCTTCACCCTTTCCCAACCCTTCCCCTATTCCCCATGCATTATCTGCCTCGAAACCAAACAACAACACATCACAAAACTCCCATGCAATATTAGTTTCATTAAATAACATTCAGAACCAAAATTTTTATAAATAACGGTACACATTATTTTGAAAATGTGAAAACAATATCTTTCAAAATAACTTTAATATATTTACAATTATATACAATACACAACAGTAAGAAATGATAATTATAACAAAAAACTGTTGTACATAAATATTCATACCACAAAAGCTGACAAATTATTGAAAGTTATTTATATAACAAGAAATTAATGGTTATATATATATATATATATATATATATATATATATATATTTTGTTACGTCGATTATGTTTAAGTTACGGTGTCTGTGACTTAGCTTTGGAATTTTTCAAATCTTATTTGTGCAAACGTACCCAGCAGGTTTATTATAATAATTCTTGGTCAAATACAGTTGATGTTTTGTCTGGGGTTCCCCAGGGGTCTGTTTTAGGCCCGCTTCTTTTTACATTATAAACAGCCGATATTATGTATCTCATTGATGAATTTTCTTTAAAGGGTTTTGCTTATGCAGCGACTGGGGAGTTTGATTTTCTGATTGAAAGAATGTTGGATTGTTTGGGTGCACTGGATGGGTGGATGGGTTTGAATGGTATAAAATTGAATCGGGAAAAAACTCAGCTGGTACCAGTTGGAACTTGGCAGCAAACCTCTAGGATTAACGTTGATTTTGTGAAAATAAGTGACATGATTATTGATTTTGGAAAAATGGCTACAGTTTTGGGTTTTAAAATAGATAAAAATCTATGTATGGGTGAACATATAAAGGTTTTGGTAAAATCTTGTTCATTTCAATTGCGGCAATTGTATCGAATTAAAAAGAGTTTGAACAGATCAACCATGGTTACTCTGATTCATTCGTTCATACATTCTAGATTGGACTATTGTAATAGTTTGTTTTATGGTGTTTCGAAACATGAGATTGCTAAGTTGCAGATGGTTCAGAATAGAGCTGCAAGAATTGTTGTTGGTGCTAGTCGTGTTGAACATATTAGCCCAATTCTGTCGGAATTGAATTGGTTGCCGGTCAGCAAAAGAATTGTTTTTAAAGTCTGTGTTTTGGTTTATAGATGCTTAAACGGATTGGCTCCGCAATATCTGTCCGAAATGTTGATTGACAGATCATCGATTTCTTTAAAAACTGGCCTACGATCAGATCGGGGAAACTTGTTAGTGGTCCCGGTTACTAAATTAAAAATTGCATCACGTAGTTTTGCAGTTTATGGACCAAGGCATTGGAATGAACTTCCCTATTTTTTGTGCCGGTCTGGTCTAACACTTCCCCAGTTCAAGAGTCAATTGAGGACATATCTTTTTTCCTTGTAGAAAATTGCCATAGTTGTAAAGCGCCTATGAGAATGTTTTTAATAGGCGCGCTATAAAAATGATCATATAATAATAATAATAATTTTACAGTATTCTATAAATTCTACCGAATGTTTGGTGTTAATATGTTTGTAGTTGGCG